GGCCTTCGTCAAGGGGACCTTTATCCCCCTCTCTTTTTGTTCTGGTGGCTGACTATCTCTCTCGCTGCCTTGACGGCTTCATTCGCGATTTCCCGAGGATGACCTACAGAACGCGTGGCTGTGGGCCTCCCATTTCCCACCTTTCTTACGCGGATGATATTATCATTTTCGCTCGTACAAATGATAATGGGCTCGTAGCTCTCATGAGTCTGTTGGACCACTAGAGTGAGACATCTGCCCAGCTAGTCACTGTTAGTAAGAGTACCTTTATCATGGACCACAACGTTGCAGACCATTGGGCTCACCAGATTCACGAGCGCACTGGATTTGCTCGTGGGGACTTACCCATCCCTTATCTTGGGGCCCCCTTGTACAAAGGCCATCTTTCCCATGAGCTTTTCATTAACGTCCGTCAGAGGATGGACAGGATTTTTGGCTGGTCACATAGACACCTATCTTTTGGAGGCCGACTTGCTCTGATCAAGAGCACTTTTTGTGCCCTCCCTCTTCACCTTCTCGCGGTGCTTGACCCCCACCAGTCTATGATTCATGAGTTAGATCATATCTTAGCCCGCTATTTTTGGAGCTATGGCAAGGGCTCGCAAGGTCGGCGGCAGACCCACTAGGTGAAGTGGGACTCCATCTGTCGTCCCCACACTGAGGGTGGGCTCGAGATTCGTCGTTTCTCTGATATGGTTACTGCGTTTTCCTACAGGATGTGGTGGCGCCTTAGGGAGTGCAAGTCCGTTTGGGCCCAATACTTCATGAGGAAATATTGCCTGGTGGTGCTACCTATCCTTGCAGGGTGACAGCCACCGCTCGAGATAGTCGACAGTGGAGACGGCTCACCACTGTTGGCAGGCGTGCTCAGGAGCACATTTTTTGGTCCTTGGGCTCTGGGGAGGTTAGCTTCTGGGATGAGTGGTGGTTCGGCGAGGCCCCTTTCTCGAGTACTAGGCCAGTCACTCACCTGCCTTTCATGCAGGTGAAGGACCTTTGGACGGGAGGTTTTTGGGATAGAGATAAGATGGAGGATATTCTTGGTGAGGGTGGGGGTTTTAGTAGTCTAGAGATTGACCAGATCCGACAGATTTCTATTTTGGAGGGAGGTTTGGATGGCATGAGGTGGAGACTTACATCTTCGGGTGCATTCTCTACGTCTT